GGGAAAAAAAAGGTGTTAGAATAGTTTATTTTTATCATTTCAGGAAAAAAAAGAAACACATTTATGTCCATCCTTTAGGTAATCCAGCGTTCTCTTGAAGTCTGGGGTAGTGAAGAATCATTGCAAGAAGCAAAGGAACTCCGTCGTCACAGCAGAGAGAAGATGAAACAGAAGAAATTTGATAAGAAAGTTAAAGGTAAAAGGTTAAACTGGCGTACTGATAAGTTAAGAGGTAAAAGGTTAAACATACATAGTTCAGTACCTGAAGTAGAGTTCTCTTTGTTTCTGCATCTGATTTAAGTATTTAGAACATCTTCAATGTGGCAAAACAGAGATTTTCAAGAGCTGTGTGGTTAGTAAGCCTGACCTTATAGCTGATTATTTTGGGCAGAGGGTTGGACTGGAGCTAGGAGGTTCCTTCCAACCTGAATTACCCTGTTGTCCTATGGACATGATGTAAGACGGGACATTATGGTGTTTTTAAAATTTTCTTGTATGACCCAGAATGTGCCACAGATTGTTCAATTGCTTGTGGAGAATGTGGATTTTTGTGGCAGTGGATTACGACTTTTATATATACCTTCAGGTGGAGTAACTGAAATGAAGGTAAAAAATGCCTTTTCCCACTGCTCAGGCTATTCTCAGCTGCTGTTTTCACTCCCTACTATTACTGTTTTTTCCTGATAAATTAGTATTTTGAGATCATGGAATAGGAGAACTTTTGAAAAATACTCCAGCACAGACATGCTAGTTATTTTAAAAAGACTGGTGTTTTAAAAAAGACTGCATGTTTCTTTGCAAGAGCTGTAGCTTACCATCAGCCTGTTGCTGCCCATAGCACCCATGCTCCACTGGGGGTCTGCATTCCCAGAGGCAGAAAGCTCACACTGGCTGTGTCTGGAGGAGGCAGATGCAAGACTGAGCAAGTAACCCCTGCCTTGACCACGGGTGTTGAGCGCACAGAAGGCCTGGCACAGGCTGCAGCCAAAGTGCCAGAGTTCAGTGCAAGTACAGGCCTTAACGTGACAAGAGTTTGCAGCCTGAAAGGCTTGGCTCAAAACTACACTCTTGCTCTTCGGAATGCTTGCCACCCACTTGCAGCATCCGGATAATATCTTGGGCTCAGTTGCCAGCCTGTGCTCTCCTGCAAACCCACTGACTTCACTGTGGCTGCTGCAGAGGCAACTCACGTTACTGGGCATCAGGCACAGAGAATGCCAAGTCATTTGAGAGCCTTACTGTGACCTGAATGAAAAGTACTCCTGCTTGGTCGCATAAAACAATGAGGCATTTTATAAAAACTTCCTCTGCATTCCACTTACCCCTTTTGGAAACCCTTGAATAGCTTCATGTAAGAAACCACAGTGGGCAACATGAACGTAATCCAGATTGAGAGTCTTCTGTGAAACTTCATGTCAGTGTAGTTCTTACCTTTAAAATATGCAAAAAAGGTGAAGATAGCAAGGCAAGTCAAAGCTTGTTCTTGCAATAGCAGAGTCTCATCCAAAATGTATGGAAGATAGGCGATTTGCAGATTGTAATCTGTAGTCCTCACAGAGGTGGCTAGCCTGAGTTATACTAACCATTATTTCAAATTTTAATAAATCTTAACTTTTCCTGTGTTTCTCATCAGAGCTGCGCCGTGCTGTGAGGAGTAGTTTGTGGAGGAAAGACACTAGTATCCATGAACATGAGTATGGACCAGAAGAAAACATTGATGAAGATACATATAAAAAGACATGTACTGTATGTGGCCATGAACTAACTTATGAGAAAATGTAATGTTAATCTGTGGGGTTGGTTGTGGTTTTTTTTGTTTGGTTTTTTTTTTGTTTGGTTTTTTTAAAATTAATTACCTTTTTAATGGCATTTTGTATTAAAGTCAAAATAAATGCTGATTTGTGAACAAACCACTGCCAGATTCAATGAAGGTTGATCCTTAGTTCTAAGAACATCTATACACAACAGTAAGATCTTGGGCTAGAGTGTAACACATTTTTAACAGTTCAGTAAATTGGTACTTTGTGAGCCAGCCCTCCAGAGGCTTCAGCTAGCTGCTCCTAGTCTGACTATGACTAGTAATGAACCCAGACATCAGTTAGGACAAAACATGGACTTCCTCCTCTAAGAGAAGTAGAAAAGTAGAAGGAAGATCACCATAGTTTCATCAGTGTATGAAATATAATAATGCCAGTTTATCTTTTGGCTCACAAAGTACCAATTTATTCAACTGTTAAAACAAGGGGAGGCACATTCTCCCTCTCCTTAGATACTCCATTAATGGAGAATTCTCTCTCAAAAGGGAGAATGTAGTCCTGGGGAGGTTCCGGTTTCATAGGGGAATGTCCTTAAATGTATCTACTGCTTTTTTTTTTTTTCCCCCCTTTAAGTTTTGGAACAGAGGCCAAGCTCTTTCAAAGCAATTCACCTCTTTCATTTACAAATTTCTGTCAAATACCTGTCCTTGGGGGGAGGGAGGAAGTTGCATTCCAAGGCAGATCTCCCTAAGTGCATCCCAATGCTGTATGGAATTCACCTCTTTCATTTGCAAATTTCTGACAAATGCCTGTCCGTGGGGGAGGGGGGAAGTAGCATTCAAAGATCTCTCTAACTGCATCCCAATGTATCTCTAGGTTCTTACAGCTGTTGAGAACTGCTTGTGGAAATGGCTGAAGCCTTCTGAAGAAACATTACAGGAGCGCTGCATTTGTTTGCCACTCTAAACAGGGCAGGAGCCTGGGCCACTGTGGCTGTGCAGAAGCGAGATGTCACAGGAGAGATGTCTAGGCAAGCAGGCCTTCCCACCAAGGACAGAGTACCTGTGGCCCTGCAAGACCTAGGAAAGTGGCACATGGGAGTGGCTGGAGGGCAGGAGGTAGGTCCTGGCAGAGCTTTGGGAAGTAGATCTTCACATCACGGTTCCCTGAGCTGATGTTGTCTTGGGTCCCAAAACCTGCTCTCCAGGACAGCTGGGTGTGGTGTGCACTACCTTCTGAATCACCTACCTGTAGGCAGGCTGAGAAACAAGCCCTCAGCAAGCACCACCAGCCCACTCCTGCCTCACCTCTTGCAGCGGCACCGCCCAGGAGACAAGGTAGCAAGAGGGAGAATTTCCCCATCAGCACCCTCCCAGCACCCATGTTTGCCTCACATGGCTGTGCACGTGGGGGAAAACCATGTTGGATCAGCCCACACCACAGGGAGGGCAAGGCTTGTATGCCGGTGAGGGTACCGGCAGCAGTGCAGGGGAAAGTGAACTGCTCCAATCCTGACTGCAGCTAACACCAGCATAACCCCACCACGACTGCTTTTTTTCCAACAGCCCCCCCCCAAATCAGGTGGGACAAACACTCCCAGTAGCAACCTGCTTCACCTTCATTTATTTTTGTCTTTAATTGTGCATTTTTTCCAACCACACCACACTTCTACAGCATCTTTACACTGTCCACCACCTCACGCTTCAGCAGTTCCATGCTTCTCCAGTTAGCTGCTGGTATCACCACATAATCATCTCATGCTCTTTCCTATAGGAAGCGTAGTCAGGTGTATGCTGCTGGACCTACAAAGAGGCAAAGGTGTCCAGCAGACTCAAGAACTGTAATCAAAGCTCATGCTCACCATAGAAGTCACATCAATTTTGAAAGACATTGCTATTTGGTTTTAAATCACAGGAGTACACTCAGGCATTTGCAACTGGATCCCCAGCACACCCGTATTTGTCCAGGCTCAGATGAAGTTACAGGTTTGCAAGTTTTAACTGTATTTTCAGTTTTACATAAGTCACATTTATAGTCAGACCCCCACCATTAGTTAATATCAGAACTCTTGATACTGATCTGAGCCAGTGAAAAAACTATTAAACCCCAATTAAAACCTCTACAGTATTAAATGTTTCTTTAAAAAAAACACAACTATTTGATTACGCAAGAACATTAACAGATAAAGAGTTGAAGCAGAAGTCTGTGCATGACTGACAAAACCCGTGCGTAAAGCAAATTTACAATTAACAGAAAGAATGGAGGATCAGACAAATCAGAAAGGGTAAGCAGAGAAAGCAGAGGTAACAGATCTAAGTCTATGAGAATATATGGGATTGCTACAGGCCACACACAAAACTCAGGTCAACACTCAAGGGAGAAAGCTCCATTTTTCACCCTCTTCACTTTATCAGAAGGTCTACTGGTCAACAAATGGGTGAAAAGCATTACTAGGCATAATACTTGAAAAAATAATTTGTACAGAAACAAAATTGCTCCAAGCTCACCACTTTTTAAGCTTAAACTGAAAAGCACTGGGCAGGAAATTCTTTAAACATTCATTTGAAAAAACAAAAAGGCCATAAACAGCTTAGAAATAACACTGCTCACTGTCAGACCTGAGCACCTAAAGGCAATGTCTTTGCCATTCATCACTGCTTACTGTGGTACAGACTACTCTGGTTTGGCCTTATCATTTGCATAACATTGCAAAACTAAGGCTAGTCTATTTCCAGGTTGTGTTTTCCCAGTCTAAGTCTCCTGTGAGAAATCACTTAATTTACATTAAAATCCTTTCTGAAGACATGGGAGCCACCTGCTGTTGTCACATTTTAAAGCAAGGGAAGGGCAGCAGATGCAGCCATCACAAAAGCAGTTTTTGCTAAGCCAGATGAGGGAGGGCACTTGGTTCACCCATCATCGCTAGCAGAAAGATTTCCTGCATTGCTGCAGGCCTGCAGGTCCAGCCCAGCACAAGCCTGGCAACCCAGCTAATTACAGGCTGAAGTAAAGGAGCAAGCTGAACACTGCCCTGCCCCCTCCCCTGGCATTCGGGGCTGGAGTTTGGCTTGCAGTACACAAGTCCAAAGTTTACTCCACTCCAGCTCTCACTTTCTGTCTTAATTTATCAGTGAAGACTGCTGCCAGGAGCAGATAATGGCTCTTCAACCAAACTGAAAAAAATACTACATTTCTCTGAAGTTGTCCATGAAGTCCCTCCACCGATTGTTTTTAGCTACTGTAATAGAACACTAGACAACACATTTAAAAAAGCATATTTCAATTGTATTGCAACCATGTTATTTCAAACTATTAAAATCTAGCTGGCTTGTAATAAACAAATCCATATGCTCTACACTACTTTGAAAACTTAACTCACATGTTTCACATGCCCAATGTCAGAATACTTTTCCTATGCCATACTAGAGAGCTTACCACACTGCTCACTGAGAAGGTGCATTCCCTTTCATACTCACAAAACACAATGAGCTGTTTCTCATTTCTGCAATTCCTACAATTTAAAGGCCAGGCAGAGGTAACAAATCCTACTGTTTGTGGATTTTGTTTGGTTTTGCCTGATTTTTATTTTTATATAAAAAACAGGTGAAACAAAAATATTTTAATGAAGTCAAGAGTCAAACCAAATTAAAAGACAACAAAAAATTAATACTTTACTTCACGTCTATCCCCTATCAGTCATATCTTGTAAGGCTTATGATGCTTACACAGTTTGCTGTTGGTTAGAGTACTGTATTGTTTTATATAGGAGCACATGAAAGCCAGTTTTAGTCAAAAAATTCTTGCATCCCCATTAAGTAAAGAAAAAAATTAAAATTCTTTCAAGTCCTGCAGACAAAGACTCTGCTCATGAGTAATCCTCAGGCCTGCAGAGCACAGAACTGCTGAAACACAGCCAGGATGTGGTGGTCCAGTTCAGCTGTAAACAGGAGGTTCTCTAGGGTCACCATGTACTGCTGGATTATCTGGTGATGCTGGCAGATTAAAAAATAGAACACAAATATTTATTGTTTTCATTCATCTGCACAGAAGACATGTAAGAATCACAATGTTGATTGTCAAATGTTTTCATGAAATTTGTTAATTACATCTAATTTCCACACAAGAAAAGCATAATGCAGAGCCACTGCTGAGTACAAGAAGGAAGAATGTGCTGAAATCCTGCCTTGAGAAGCACTGTGACCCCTCTAGCTCTTCACTCCTGGACCCTGAAGAATACCATGCAACTGCAGAGATATCCTAGGAGAATCAGGATATTTGCTTTCCTCTGAAGCCACTATCTACCACCGAGAAGGGTTCAGGCCACAGGGGAATTACACCACAGCTCCCATTCTTCCATCTATCCTCTGCTCACATGGGAGTAATTTTTTATTACTATCACTTTCATCCAGCCACCAGTGCTTGTTAACTGATTTAACAGAGCCAAGAATTAAAAAAAATTTAATATATATTTACACATTTAATTGAAATGAATCCTGCAATATTTTAATCTGCATATTTAAGAGACATCTATTCTAGTACCGTTCCTCACTCTCAACTTTACCCTTGCTATGAACAACCAGTTAAAAGAAGCTCAGCGAAATTCCCAAACACATCTTGCTATTTTTCTGCAGTATGCTCAGCGTGCAGGATTTAAACCGGGATTAGCCATTCCACCAGCCCGAGGCAGCCATGTGGCCGGAACCAGGGAGTCACGACCCTGCCCCTCGCCAGCCTGCAGAGATGTGGTGCTGTCACCTGCTGCTTCTCCCTTCAAGTGCTCAGGCCTCCAGACACGCCGCCTGTCTATCCAGCACGTCCCCGCCCCCCGCCTTCTGAACCCAGAAGTGAAACGTACCTGCAGGAAGATCTGCTGCAACCTCTCTATACAGCTCTTGTACCAAGGTGTAAATACATCAATTCCACCAGTCTCACAGCGCACTAAGTGCTCAGTCAACAACATAATGAAACGCTGCAGGAGAGGAAAAAAAAAGTACTTATTCAGTCTCCTCAAATGAAAGCTGAATACTAACCTTAGGTAAGAGGATCTGAGGTACAGAGACTTTCAATAGCAATGAGAATCATTATTTTGCTTAGCAACCACTGAATTTAGTAAGCAAAATAAAATCCAGTTTACTTTCTGGTTGTTCTGGAAACTATGCCAGTAGAACTTGTTTGCTCCTGAGGACTTGAAACTGAACAGATCCTGCTCAGCAGCAGACTTTGCAGGGCAATGGCCTTGATTTACATTAACTCAAGAATAAATTCATCAACCCCTTCCCATATTTTCACTCCAAGAAGATGCCCGAGATACAAGTGACACCAAAAGCTTACAATCCAGCAACTTTAAAACCTGAAAACAAGAACAAGACTTTCCCCATCATTACCTGGAATATAACAAGGAAGAGATTCTTTTGTTCACTCTGGGCTGACTCCACTTTTTCCTGCAAACGCTCTATCTGCTCTTCTAGTGGTCCATCTTCCCGATCACTGCTTCGGTCATCATCATCATCGTCATCATCACTGTCTCTCTGCAAATGACAACACAAGACTAACTAGTAACCTGGCTACCCGTGGATACTGTTAATGCCCTTCAGTTCCCCAGGTGAGAAGGTCTGCAGAGCAACTGAGGAGCAGCAACTGAAGCTGCGCTGTAGGTTGGAGGACATTTGAAGGTCATTTACTTTTACTATAATTCAGGAATTTGGAAGGAAAAATGCCAACATGGGAAAGCCCTGAGAAAGAAATAACCAAGATTTCAGAGAAACCAGAGCAAGCTTAAAGATTCATCAGTCCTTTATTTAGTGGAAGCACAGTAAAATATAATACTCCTCCTGACTTTATCATTACCAGATAATGAACAACTTAACAAAGAAATCCAGGGTAGATTTCAAAAATTGTGTCTACTGCAGCAGGGCAGGTAATTCATTCAGTGAACAGCTCTAAAATCTCAGGGCTCCAAAATATATAGCGCTTTGCAAAAACCGAGATGAATCCAGCTGGTTAGCACAAAAGGGAGATGAGACACTGTGGTGTTAACAGGAGGACTCCCTATATTAATGATCAAATGGAATCGTCTCAGACTAGAAAGGATCAGCATGGAAAACAAACTATTAAGTAGGAACATGGCCTGTTCTCATTGCCTCAAAAACACAACTAAACAGCAATATATGCTTAAGTTCCAGACTTGGGAGCTGAGGGAACATGGTCTAACACACAACTACAAAAGATATTGGAGGAAAAGAATCTGATGGGTTATGGTATATTCAAATACAGGTATTGCTTCAGTCTCGTAGGGTTGTTTCTGTGCAAAAAGACCCATAAATTAACAGTTTAAGACTTCCAACTATTTGCAAAAGCAGCAAGTGCAACTTGTGACAAAAAAGAGGGCTGTGTGGCAACTCACCTGGTACACAGCAGATAAACTCACAATCAGAAGACAGTTACAGCTCAGAAGCAGTATAAAAAACAAGCAACTTACCACAGCAAGTGAAAATTTAATTTTATTCTCTCTATAGAAACTTGCTTTTTACACATCTGTAGAAGTTTCCTGAACTCAAAATGCTAAGGGATCAACAGGACCTAAGAGAAAGCCTTGCAGTCATTCCATAATAATGCAATCCAATCCATGCTAGGGGCATCAAAATTTGATGGCTTAGTTCCTCTAAAAGGAATGGCCATGCAGCAGAGCAGCAGCCTGTAGAACTACTCACTGTTGCATACAAATGTTTCTTCCTGGCACAATACTAATTTAAAGTACTCAGCAACAAAGAGCTGGAGCAAGAGACAAGTACAGAAATGAAAACACCAGTATATTTGTTTAGAGAAGCTCTTTGCCTTACAGTAAGATCAATTACTGCACCTAGGTCTTCAATAATCATGGGCATTTATTAACTGCTTATTAGTGTAGATTGAGGATGCAACTAGAACAGCTGTGGCTGGAAGCAAAGACAAGATGAAGGGGCTGGGATGAACCGACACTGGCAAACTGTGAGCTACTAGTTCTCTCTCAACAGAAACTTCTGGAAAAAACTAACGGATGTGTGGAGGTTCCTCCAAAAGCCATCAGCAGCCTCTGTGCCATGTTCAAAATTCTGACACTAACTTCATCCAAAGTCCTGGAGCTAGCAAACAAATTATCTCTTGCTCTCTGCAGCTCTCAACATGTCTATAAACTGATTTCATTCTATCACAACTAAGTCTTGCATTCAGCCAAGATTCCTTGGGCCCTGTCTTCTGCAGCTGCCACAGGAAACACTCTCACCCCATTTTATGGTCCCACTTGGGACAAAAAACAAACAGCAGCAGTCTGCTCATCAGTTTGCTGTATATAGTAACCCAGACCATGCAAAGATATTCAGAAAAATAAGCTGGAAGAAGGGAGTGACAGATGCCAGTGTCAGAATCCAGCAGCACCCATCAGAAGAACAGTAACAGCTAACTTTTCAAAAGCAAATAGCCGTTTCCGTGCACTTCTGCATGGAAGCCACAAGAGTACTCTTTAACAGAACTTGCTATAAATAATTTTAACTGTTCTTCTTGTTATCTAATAAGGCAATTGGAATCCAGATTAGAAGGCAAGTGTAAGACATGCTTGTATTGCAAGATAAACTTGTGAGAGAGCTTGAACAGAGCAAATGCATGAATTCCCTTCAATATTTTACTGAATCCTTAGGTTATAGCTACCACTAGAAAGATGGACTAAGAACATGCATCCAGGTTTTCATGTCTACAGATGACCATATCTGCAGACATGCTTTCTGGTAAATATTTATTCAGTCTTTCCTCAGATCAACTGTATGCCAGTCTGACTCCATGCAGGTTTATATAACTTGCTTTAAATAATTAAAAATTACAAACAAACTACTCACTCTTTTGTGCTGCCTGGCCAATCTTGCCTTAGTCTCCTCCAGCTCTTTGTGGATCTTCAGAACATGCTTATTCATCTTGCGGATTGTGGAATGTAAGATCTCCCAGATATAAAACCTAGTAAATACACAAAGCTCAAAATACTACATCTCACACCACTCCAAGATAAAAAAACTAAATGTACCTTCTTACAGAAAAAAGTCTCTGGGCAAATTGAAAAAAATTAGTATCTTCCAATACATGTTCTAGAGTAAGCAAACACTCACCATCTCGGAAAGCATAGCTGTAATGCAAGCAAGCTTTAAAATCATAGAATTATTCAGGTTGGAAAAGACCCTTGGGATCACAGAGTCCAACCATCATCCCTACTCTACAAAGTTCTCCCCTAAACCACATCCAGCAACACCACATCCAAACAACCCTTAAACACATCCAGGGATGGTGACTCAACCCCCTCCCTGGGCAGTCTATTCCAGTGTCTAACCACTCTTTCTGTGAACATTATTTTTCCTAATGTCCAGTCTAAACCTCCCCTGTTGCAGCTTGAAGCCCTTCCCTCTTGTTCTGTCACTAATTACCTGTGAGAACAGATGAGCACCAACCTCTCTACAATGACCTTTCAGGTAGTTGCAGAGACTGATGAGGCCTCCCCTCCCTCAGCAAAATCTTTTATTTCCCAAGTTTTTTGCAGTACACTTCCAAACCAGCATTTTATTTCATACACATACTGCAAGACTACCAACAAAATTGACTTTTAAACGAGGATCTTCTGAAGAAAGTCTCATGGAAGAAAGAAATTTACAGTTTGTGGAATAAGGGACTTGTCACTTGAGACAACTATAGGGACATTCTCACAGTATGTAGGAAGGCAACAAGAAAGGCCAAAGCCCTCTTAGAACTCAAACTGGCAAAGTAAAGGAGAACAACAAGAGCTTCTTCAAATATATCAGTAGTAAAAGGAAGAATAAGGAAAATGTGGGCCCACTGCTGAATGAAGCGGGAGCCCTGGTAACAGAGGATGCAGAGAAGGCAGAGCTGCTGAATGCCTTCTTTGCTTCAGTCTTTACTAAGACCAGCTCTTATGAGCTTCAAACCCTGGATACAGGAGAGGAAGCCTGGAGGAGGGAAGACTCTCCACTAGTCAAGGAAGAGTGGGCCAGAGATCAGTGATGTAAATTGAATGTGCACAAGTCCATGGGCCCTGATGAGATGCACCCAAGAGTGTTGAGAGAGCTGACTGATGTTATTGCCCTACCACCTTCTATCACTTTTCAAAGATCATGGCAAACAGGAGAGGTGACTGAGGACTGGAGGAGAGCCAGTGTCACTCCAATCTTCAAACAGGTTGGCAAGAAGGAAGATGCAGGAAATTACAGACCAGTCAGCCTCACCTCCATCCCTGGAAAAATGATGGAACAGCTAATTTTGGAGGTCAACTCTAAGCACACAGAAGAGAAGAAGGTTATCAGGAGTAGTCAGCATGGATTTACCAAGGAGAAATCATGCTTGACTAACCTGGAAGCCTTCTATGATGTTGTGATTGAATGGGTAGATGCAAGGAGACCAGTGGATGTGTCTACCTTGACCTTAGCAAGGCTTTTGACACAGTCTCCCATACCATCCCTGTGAGCAAGCTCAGGAAATGTGGGATAAAAGAATGGATAGTAAGATGGATTAAGAACTGGCTACACATTAGAGCCCAAAGAGGGGTGGTCAGCAGTGTAGACCTGTAGTGTAGTGTAGACCAGCTGAAAACCCGTAATTAGTGGAGTCCCTCAGTGATCAGTGCTGGGTCCCACCCTGTTCAACACCTTTATCAATGACCTTGATGATGGGACAGTGTCTTCTCAGCAAGTTTGCTGATGACATGAAGCTGGGAGGATTGGCTGACTCACCTGAAGGCTGTGCAGCCATTCAGGGAGATTTGGATGGGCTGGAGAGCTGGACAAAGAGGAACATAATGAGGTTCAACAAGAGCAGGTGCAGAGTCCTGCACCTGGGAAGGAACAACAAAATGCACCAGTACAGGCTGGGAGGTGATGTGCTAGAGAGCAGCTCCTTGGTGAAGGACTTTGGAGTCCTGGTAGACAACAAGTTATCCATGGGACAACAATGTGCCCTTGTGGCCAAGAAGGCCAACGGTATCTTGGGGTGCATTAAGAGGAGTGTCCCCAGCAGATCTAGGGAGGTTCTCCTCCCCCTCTACTTGGCCCTGGTGAGACCTTACTTGGAGTGCTGTGTCCAGTTCTGGGCTCCCCAGTTCACCTCAGAATGAGGAAGACCTTCCTTACTGTGAGGGTTACAGAGCACTGGAACAGGCTCCCCAGAGAAGTTGTGAGGTCTCTTTCTCTGGAGACTTTCAAGACCTGTCTGGATGCCTTTCTGAGTGATCTGCCCTAGTTTTTGGTCCTGCTCTGGCAGGGTGTTGGACTCGATGATTTTTGGAGGTGCCTTCCAACCCCTACTATTCTGTGGTTCTGTGATTCTGCAATTCTGTGGCTTTCCTGACCAAACACTTCTCCCATTCTGAATAAGCACTGTATCAATGATGTTACAAGTTAAATATATCAGCCAAAGCCAGGTTAGAGCCTACTCGCAAAATGACATGTTAGCAACATTCCTGCAATGTGATGTAAACATTCATACCCCACCTCAAAAGAAAAATGCTAAAGCATGTATTTTGTAGAAGTAAAAAATTGTACCTTTTTTTCCCACTACTCAGTTTTCATAGATTAAACTACACATTGGCCACTTAAAATAGTAATTCTGACACAAAAACAATGTAAGACAAAATCTTGTTACCTAGTAAAATCATGTGCAAGCTCTGAAGAGAAGATCCAGTTTGCTACTGCAGCACAGTCAACTATTTGTGTCCGAATCATCTTGTCCACAAGCACAGCAATCATCTATATTTTGTGAAAGACATGAGAGTAATTCAAATGAGAAAAGGGTTTGCACAATCTGTGTAAAGTATTTCAGCCTCAGATAAAACCAGAGGTGGATTGACACAACTCTGTGTTCGTGATATCACTGGGTAATTTCAAATACTTAAGGAAGCTTAGTGGTCTAGTCTGAAACTGTTCAAATTAGGGGATCTATATAAATTACATAAAATATTCTGATTTTGTTTAACAACCTTTTATACTTCTTGTGAAAATGATGTATCACTCTTTGCTAACACATACATAAAAATACAAGCATCACAGCTGGAAGTGAGGCATTACAGAAACAAGTCCTAGTATTCAACATCCAAGTACTCCAACTAGAGCATATATAGCTGACCACCATATATGCCAGACCACCATAAAGAAGGAGCTACTGTTAGCCTATTCTCCTTGGATTGCAACAGGCTTCAAATGTGACAGTAAGCTCTTCTCTACAGGACTGATGCACTTCAGAACTAAGTCAGTGCTGCGTAGTCCGTGGAAGTGCTTACTTGCTACTGGAACTGCCATGACTCTGGAAAGGCTGCAAGCAAACTAGCAGGCAACTGCAGAGAGGAGTTACTGACTAAAGCAGTTGCAAGCTGTTCAGAAAAAAGGCTTATCTTATTATTCGTGTGCTTGAATGCAAAGTGTATGAGCCACAAGCTGCACTGTACTTTTCCTTACAACCACCCATTGTCAAATAAGGAAGTGTAACAACGCTCCTTTTAAGGAAAGAAAATTAAAATAACTGAATGAATCATACAGAAGACTCAGCTCTCAACTTTCAAGTCCCAGGATAGCATCCTATGTTCTGTTTGTCTTTCTCTATTGCCAGGAAGATTTTCTGATTACCTAGCCTGATCTTACTAGAAGCACACACCTAGGATTTTGGGAAAGTGTTTCATCTCAATGTTAAAGTTTATCTTTATGAAGTCACCACTGCGACCTTACTTACAAGTGCAGGAACCACTGACTCCTGTTGCTAAATCCCTGCCTGCAGCACAGATCAGTCATCAGCACTATGTGATAACTGCTGACAGTCTGAAGCCAATCATACAAAGGAATAGGGCAAGTGGCATGAAAACAGATTCTGGACAAGAGTCCTGCTGTCCAGGCACAACTTCTTCTGTGTGCCAGGAAGGCTGTAGACTCAGAGAAGAAAGTGCTTGACCAGAAGCAGTAGATTGAACTGCTATAAATGCAAGAGAATTTAAATTCCACAATCAAGTAGAACAGCAGACTTATGTAACTTCCATGCACTTTATTTGTTGATAAAATTCTAACAGGACTGCTTAGTCTGGGTTTGAAACCTCCATCTCAGTTTGGTCATGCTGTAACTCAAAGGAATGAAGAGGAACAAGACACAGAAATCAGTAATGTAATTTCTTCTAATCTAGTTAAACAGCAGTAAAAAGAGTGTAATAGTCATATTTTTAAGGTCAGTAATTTGGGTAGGAAGCTTACTGTTAAAAAATCCTGGGGATTTATGTTTTTATTGTACTAAGAAGGGAGGTGACATCTTGCATAGGTATCCTTCTAGGTGCTCAGCTTTTACCCCAGGGAATGGACAACAGGTCCAGCAGAAGGTGCAAGGATTACCCCTTATTGTCAGTGGCATTACTTCTGAAAGTCTAGCTTATGTAGCTGTGAGGTACAGTCCACTTTCAAGCACACTGAAGTGTCACACAAACACACCAGTATGCAATATGTGAAGTAATGCAGGCAAATTCAGCTTACTGACTTCTATTTATAGAAGAATGACAGCTGACGGAGAAAACAACTGGTGTGAAGAAACTCAACAGCTTAAACAACTGAGGCATTTTCCATGGATCTTTTAGGCTATTTCCTCTGGCTCACGAAGGAACATAATCATGGTACTATTAGACTGATCTGTTCTGAAAAGCCACTGACTGCAGCCCTACTGTCTGCCCACACACAACAGCGACTTCAACATGCACTTCCTGGAATAACTGTAGGGCTTTCACTAGCAATTGAAAAAAAGAAATCCCTAAAAATCCCCAGGTTTCCATATTTCTAAGAACATGGCCTGATTTTGACAGCAGATCTACACCTTATTTAAATTTACGTTATCTACGCAGTTTTCCAATTTTCAACAGAAACATAATTTTAGTAAAAGTTACCCTCTTGTATGACAAACAGCATAATATGAATCCATGCAGAATGACAGCTTTTGCCCTCCCACAGGAAACCCGGAGGAAGAAGTAGCTTCATTGATCATAGACATTTTAGGTTTCAGGCACTAGTAACAGCAGTAAGTTCAATTTGAACTTCCACTCAGAAAGATGACAACAAACAAGTTATTTTTAAAGGATATAAAGCAAGCTGCCTTTTTTTTTTTTTTTACTTAAATATGACCACTCTCAGTTCCAACTCACAATGAGACTTGACACTGCAACTCCTTACCTGTGGATGATTCTTCCAAACCTCATATACAACCCTCAGAACATGGAGTTTCCCCTCATCACTTTCAGCAAGTGTTTTGAAGACTTCATGAAACCTTTCAACAAAGGTAAGTAGTCAGTGGAGGAGATCAGATCAAAAGAACAGCATATACAAGACTTAGATTGGCCAAAAGGAGATTTTGTGACTATATGCAGCAATTATTCAGCAACTATTCCCTGGAAAATACAACCATCTTGAGCTAAAATAGGACAGAAAGACATGACAGCTCCCAAAAGGTACTTAAATATTAGTGGTGAACTTATTCCCTCATGCTAGGTTGCATTTCTCATTACTTTTAAAAGCAGGAGGCACTTTCATCCTTTATGTGCTTATCTATACACAGCTGGAGCAAAATTTGTTGCCTTTTGAGCCTTAGACCTTCCCCTTGATGTGCATTTCCTTAACTGTAGACACTTAACAAATCTGCCTCTTTTGAATAAAACGCTGCTAAAAGTTAGCACTAACTATTAAGTGTTAAGAGGCTCTTTTTGATCTCCTGGTTGCCACTGTTGGTGCACTGCAATGAAAGCTACCATGGCTTCTAAGTATTCTTATCACCCTGCCTCTTGTACTACTGATTGCAGGTTACTACCTACAGCTTCGTATCAACATTGTCTCTAAAGCTCTCAGGTGCATGTTTTTCTAACACTTCTATATATCTTTTAGGACAGACAGAAACATAACTCACCAAGATGCATGTGACTACCTTTCATTTATCAAGACTCCTTAAGAACAACCCCAAACCACACAGGATTAAAAATGAATTATTTTAGCTCATTTTTCTAATGAAAGTGCAGTAAATTCTTTAAGAGTCAGAGTATATATTTAAGGGATGCACTCCAACGTATTTGAGAATGGATTTTACTGTGCCTTCCTAGGTAAAAGAAGATTATAGCCAGCTGCTTTGAAATATCATGTTTTGTTTTTCTTTCTTCATTTTTTATAGATGTAACTGTTCTAGAGTCATATTCATAGTACAAGATATTGCAGTGGGAGCTACCCAGTCATTCAAAAGCAAGGAGAAACTCTTGTTCCTCATCACAATCAGTAAATTAGTAATTCTAAACTGGAGTGATGCCCAAATATGTTTCATTTGTTTGATTTACATCATATGGCTATAATGCACAAATTTATGTTAATTCCATTCATGTACATGACCTAGCATTTACACTATCATTCCTTCAGTATGTAGCTAATTCTCTTAATCCCACTGCACTATGAAGCACCTAAGACATTGCTGAAAGTTGCAGTCCAGTTTTTATTATTCATTTCACTATCAGAATTAAACAGTTCTGCAAGACCTGAAATAATGCACATATTACACTTACTTTGCCAGGGCACTGAAGGAGTGGCTGAAAGACTTTGCAGCTAGATGGAGCAGAGTCTGAACAAAGACTTCTATTTTCAGAGGGTTGAAGGTAAATCCTTCATCTGCAAATTATTTAAAGTTAAACTGTAAGTTGTTACAGTAGAGCACATAAGCTACTCATAAAAGCACAGAGATAACTTACGATTTTAACTCATTTAAGTTTCATAACCAGTGTTTTGCAAGGCTGAGCAGGGAACTATAGTAAAGACCTTCCAAAATGTGCAGATCTTTGGGCTTCCATTTTGCCATGGAGAAAATGTGCATAAAGAATTCCAGATCAGTGATGAAGCGATCAAAGACACAGCCATCCTACCACCATGTCACAGCACTGATGGACAGCAGCAGAGAAAGATAGCAAAGGGAACTGCAGAGCTATGCACCAAGCTTAAGGTCTGGCAGACCATAAAGGGAGAGTGGATGAGGAGAGGGGAAGGTAAGATTGATTAGGGTTCAGAGGTTGGCTATTTACATCATGGAAGAAGAGTCCAGCAAGAGCACACAGCAAATATGGTACTAGGGGGAAGTGGCACAAAGTCCCCTCCTGTAGCTGCAGCTCTGCAGCTGAGGACAGGCAGGAGGAAGAGCACTCATTAGTCTGCAACCCCTAAAACAAATCAGGAAACGTGACAGTAGGTCCCAGGAAAAAAAAACAACATTGCTGCACACTGCTTGCATCAGAACACTTGCAAATATTACATAAATATTGAAGCTGTCCCCATTGTAAAGATCAATTCTTACTTCTGTCTCACACTCCTTTTTACTCCTCCAAACACACAGGCTTTAGGAATCAATGCTGTCTGTGGCTGCAAAGCTAGAGAGAACATGAGTGGAGTCCCATTGTGAGTTTGTATGTATGGAAGACTACAGCCAGCATGCTGGCTAACTTATCTGTCATGGGACTGTATCAAGGGGAGGGCAGCTCTCACACAGGGCACCAGCACTGAGTCTCAGGTTTGAGGGTAATAGCAAGAACTGCAGCCTTGCTGAAGGCAAAGGAAATGTGAAATTCTTTCATGCTACCTCAATAATCACAAGACACATCTCAGTCATTCATTAGGAAAAACAAGCCTGCCTCTGCGTGTGAGATGTTTACAACAAACCCTAACAATGGTGTATTATTCCCATTTACTGATAAATTGAAACAGACTATTAGAAAAAAAAAGCATACAGTTTTGTTCACTACCACACTCAGAGCTCCAAAGGATGGCAGATCAATCTACACACAAAATAAATTACAACCTGCCAAAATTTAACAGCATACATCTCACCATCATCATCCTGGTTTGGATTAGGGACGTCTTTTAAAATGCTGAAGATTTCATCATTACTGGCCTTATTTTTAATTGCAATTGTTAAACAGAGTGCGACAGAATATCCAGGAAGAGACCCTAAACAAAAACAGAGGTCAAAATATGTAGAAGTTTGAGTATTTTTAACATCAGCTTGCCTTTCAGAGAAACAAGTACACTTCCTAGCTGCACCTCAATCTAGCTGTTTCCAACATCATTTCCCATCTGACTATTCTCTAAAACTGCTCAACATGTTTCCTGACCTTCATATTAAATTCAAAACTTACAGTAGAATCTTTAAAGCTGAGGTCAAGTCAGCTTCCATCAGTTTCCTAAAAATACAGTATTTCCTTGTTTTTCCACTCTGTGCTTGACGATGACACTTCTATACTTGTCTTGAGTAATAAAAGGAATAACAATGTATCTCTACATCAACCTTCACATCATCTGCTGCCTCTGTATGCTTCATTTAACCAGGCTTACTGGTAAAATCTTCTACTGTTTTGTGAAGTTCAAAAAAAAAAAATCCACATTATGACTTCATATGCTGACTTTTGCATAGTATTGTGCCCAACAGGGGAAACAGAGGTATTTTCCAATTTTAGACTTCTGGCAAAACATCCTGCACACCACCACAACCACCTCAGCAACAGTAACTTCATGTATCTGGATTTCCTCTTCTACATAAAGTAAAAGATTATTAGATTACAGAGATCCAGGCTTAACATATATTAATTGCTCACATGAAGCATATTTACCCATATGAAAATAATGCATATTTATTTCAGCTGTATTCTTCTTTATGAAGACAACTGTTATTACAGTTAACCTAGTGTGTTCCCTTGCTCTGAAACACTATTGTCTTCAACTTGACCCATCAGGGACTTTAATACTTACTATTACTTTCATCTCCATATTTGTAAATGCACACTGGATTAGCAGGACTGAGGACAGAAAAACTGGCAGGAACAATGTCTATTATCCGCTGATGGTAGGAGAGTCTGGAAATAAGTTTCACAGCAGTAGAATTACAATGGGAATAACACCAGGGCTAATTCAAAAGTGATTGATTTACAGTGGTTTTCCTGTATTTAACTTTCATAGAACAAAAATCAGTACGTTTATACAACAGAATGATAGTTTCAGCTGGGTAGGCAAGACCTATGTAAACCAAACTCACTAGTAGATGTTTTCTATCTGAACTCTTTGATTCTAGACTTTCATCCTCATACAACTAATTTAGCTTGTGAAAAGGTTTAGAGGTTGCCTACTAGGATGTTTTATGCAAAAGCCTAAGATGTGCTGCAGAAAGCTAGCAAGACATTGGTATTCAAAGCAGAAAAAATATTAAACCTGATGTCTTTATTCTACTTTTCTGCTTATTTCACTCCCACAAAGGCTTAACTTTGCTACAAGAGTTTTCAGGGAAATGGAAGAGTGTCACAGAAAAAGAGCACTCATTTTGCAGCACAATACTTTCACACATACTTTCCTCTACTGAATTCACACAGAAACGCATGTTTTCATGTAGCATAAGTAACATAGGCTTTCTGAATATTTTGCTCACTCTGTGTATATCCCTCTGTCTCAACAGTTCTAAGTTCAGCCCTGATTGTATACTCTTCTTTTTGGGTTTTGGATTTTTGTTGGTTTGTTTGGAGGGATGTTTGTTTGTTTTAAGGTCAATGAACAACACCTAGAAGAATAAAGATTAGCTTCTCAGTTTTTAGTATACCTATCATCAGTTCCCTCCATTTCTGTGAGTGCTGAACACTTTCCAAGAATGTTGTCTAAGCTCCGTTTCTTGCCACGCCTATGGTGAAACGTGTCTTTTTGTAACTATAGCTGTGTGTACCTGGGATAGACAGCTCACTGCCATCTGCTCCACCTGTTTCTGCCTCTCTAAAGTAGTGTCCTACAACAGGTAAACCCGATTAAAATTATACAAACAACATACTCAGCTCTGAATTGTAGTAACAAATAAGAGTCAAGTTAAAAGGAAACTGACAAGTATCCAGAAGCAAAGATAAAACTGCCTTGAATGCAACTATCAAGATACCTTACTTACCGCATGCACTTTTCCAAAACCTCCCTCACAAATTTGGGCTTGGGCTTTTCAAGGTCCTGAGTAAGACAGTCTGACCTATCAAAGGACAAAATGCATTACGTTTTAGCACAGTAAATTTGTGCTTTAGTCTCTTTTTGGCTTGGCTTGGTCTAATAGGTACAAAAGGACAACACTGGAATACTTGACGCTCAGTTTTACAGTGTGGGCAATTTTAAGACAATGAGTTAAGTTTATCACCATTTCCTTATTGGCCATTAGCATTCTTGGAATCTGTGTGATACATTTCCAAGTAGCTCCCCTCACCTCACCAGATTAAAAATAATTTGTGCTTATGGTTAGCTGACTTTCCTTTTCCATAGGACAGGAACACCTCATGTGATTTCATAGTTTATTCCTCCCTCACAGGAATTTAACTTCTGGTGCCTTTTGAAGGCATTTCAGATAAAGAAAAGTCTCAAATACAGCCACTTGCAAAATCTGTTAAGAATGGCAGCTTGTGAGAGAAACCCAGAGAAGTGATGCCCTCAAGGAACATCCAGGCAATGAAAGAAGACTGCTGCCTGATGAGTTACCACAGATGCACAGTAGGATAGCCAGCAAGCACTTAACATTTTTGTGGCTTTACTGAAGTTTCTTGTGTTGTCCTCATGTGGAGTTACCACAAGAAGGGCTGCACCCCTCTCCACAGGGACATTTGGGTGGATCAACTATGGAAAACAGGTACAGTAGCAGGGTGTGGAAGCTACTGTAGGGAGAATTTAACCACGAGGTGACCTCTCTTGCTTCATGGGTGCCTGGAATGGAAATCTCAAGGGAACCTATAGTTTGACATTGACTGAGTCCAGGAAGCTCCTGCTGGAAATGCCAATTCATGAATGAGCACAGTAAGAATGGAAAGCAGAGCCAGCTCTGATGGAACTTCAGGCACCAGGATTTGGCAGGTGGGAAATGGATCACAAGGGGTCTCAAGGACAAATGTCATAAAGAAAGGTTTAGGGTAGGACAAAGAACAAATATAGGATACAAAGAGTCAGGGCAAATTATTAGAAGTAAATTGGGGAGCCATTTTTGAAAATTTACTAGCAACTGATTGAGGGTGCAGGGCAAATTAAAGAAATCACATTTCGACTTCCCCTGCTTAGGGAATGCTTACACTGGCTTGAGTCTTGTCACACAAAGTTCATATGGGACAACACAATAAAGAGATTATCAAGATAACCTACCAATGAGTGCTGGTGAAAAGATTAAGAAAGATCTCTGAAGATCTGGAGAAAAGCATGTAAGTTCACTATGCTGTGTCACCTCCTGGATAAGTGAAATTTTAACATTTTTGCAATATTAGGTTCAAATCAGAAGGAGAGAAACTTACCAGTCTTCCCAGCTCCAACGGAACTGGAAGTTGCTCAAGTGGTGAGAAAACCAGTTGATAAATCTTTAATAAAAGAAAAATAAAGCTCCATTAAATGCCACGAGTACAGGAAAACTTTCAGTTGAGATTTTCTTCTGAATACATTCTACTTTTCAAAGGCAAGCTTTAAAATCATAAGACACTACAGCATTAAATAGGTGTTTATGTTGAGAGATACAGGAGACTGGGTTCAGAGAGACAGAAAGAAGCTTTTAAGGACAAGTAGCCCATGATGTTCTGCTGTTTCATACGAAAAGACAACCTATTAAACTAACAATTAAAATGCAAATTTACAGTGAATATGAAACCTTTGCATTTTTTAAGAATAATTAACAGCTCTCCTGCACAATGCAGACTCCACTCAAAGGGCAAAATGACCATCACTCTCCTCCTCCCTGTAGCACTTATGCTGTCAACTTCCCTTTCAGCTTGTCTCCCAGCACACTAGGGAGCCAGCATACTACTAGATAAAGGGGTACTATGAACACCTTTGAACACCAGAAAGTTGTCACCAATCTTAACTGTCCTGTACAGACAAGCAGAGATGTGACCTCTGGAGGAGTGTTACTGGGAAGAAGGGGCAAGCACTTGGTAGTCCTCTTGAGATTGCTCAAAGCCAGAGCTCAGAAAACGTTTTTGAATAGCACCAAGAAGTTCTAACAAGGATTTCTGACTATACTTTCCATAGCCTTTTCCTTTTTCCTGTACATTGGATATTAAGGAGTATTTTCCATCATCTTCAAAACACATTTACCTGTCCACACATGTTGTATTCATTGTATCCAAACGCATGTAGAGCATTTCTGTGGCTTGCGCAAGCTGAAAGTTTCTCATTAAGGTTAACAGAAAAGCACTAGGTAAATCAGATGTTATTCCTTTCAGTTTCTGAATAGAATGTTAACAAATTTTTGTACTGCTTGCTCCTGAGGTTTACTCCAAAATCAGACAAATCACAGTAAATCCACAGTGGAAAAAAATAAAGCATATAGCGAGTACAACCAGCCTGTTTTTCTTCCATTGTTGCAATGGTACTGTTAGCTTCTTGCCTAGAAAGTCAGAATTTGCATCATGCAACCAGCAGAACTGCACTAGTATGAACAGACACGAACTTTCTTAAGGAGTTCTTCTGCCACCTCTCCAATACAGCTTCATGGGCTGTTGCAGATGCATATTCACAATCATCATCACTGAAGGCTTAAGAAAGTATGTTTACACTGACTTTACACAACACAGCCTTTTATTCTTCTCCTGGTGTCCCTATTAACATTAAAAGCTTTCTGCATGGAAATCCACCCAATTCTAGAAATACACTTGGCTCTAATAATTGAGATTATGTGATTTGCAAGCAGTGAGTGGTATCATGAAGCAGAATGAAAACTTGAGCATGAAATTACCAGTGGACAGACACCCGTTACAGGTCCTCCATTAAAACCTGCAGCTTGACCTAAAACAATGATCTAACATGATCTAAAATGGCAGGAAAGTAGGGGCAATGTAATAGCAAGAATTAGGTGGGTGTCATGCCTCCTTCCTTAGCATTTAGCCACCCTGAACTGACATGATTGTAGAGCTTCTGAACGCTCCTAGTGGGAGCACTGAGTGGGAACTCAGGTAAGTTCCTTTAAATTACCTACTATACCTCCTACTAAAAAAGGCTAGAACACTAACACAGTTGTTAGAACAAAAGATCAAGTCTGTCACTTCTCCTTCTCAGCCTTTAATGTGTCTGTGACAGTGGCAAACCTTGCCCAGACCTAAACAGGCTGCAGTGACAAACAACACTATTGGATTTTATCCCCTCACCAAGAGAGTCCTTCTCAGGAAGGTTAGAGGAAGTAGCAGAACACTGTCCAGAAGGGTGAAGTCTTACCCAGTTGGCAAGTCTAGGCCTGTGCTAAGCATGCTGTGCTATTCTTCCACATGAGTGTCACCACCAAAGTTTCATGCAGCTGCTGTAAGGTACTAATACTGCCAGCATTAATGCTACCCCATCACCCACAGAACAACTAAAATAAGGACAGCATTTTATAAACGCTCTCCAGCAGAGCAGAAAGGATACAACTTGTGGTAAAGAGCCAGGCTGAAGTTTGCACAGCTCAATCAGGAGTGTTGTATACATTACTTCGATGTGTGGTGGAGATGGAAGTTGAAACAGTTCTGCAAATATCACCTGTAGGAGAGAAGGCACAGAATCAAGCACAGTACAATGTGGCCTGCACAACCCTCAGCATCACAATGGCCATCAATCTGGAAAAATTACATATTGTTCCAGGAAGAAGAGAGAAACTAAGGCAGAGGTAACCTTGTACTGTATTAATACAGTCCACTCTAGCTGCCCTTATAATTTCATACTAACACAATGCAACAAGTATATGTGTATTTGTTAGGCACTTTACATCACGGAACTGTAGAAATGTTATAATATGAAATACTGCTGTGCTACCACATGATCTGAGGAAAGCAGAAATAATCTGATTCTGTTAAACAATAAAGATAAATAATAAATGTATTACATTAAGCCTAAGCATTTAGCGTGAAAGACTATTTGCATTACAATTACATCTGTATCTTCCCCATCACATCCTCTTTTCTCCTACAGAAAAACAAACAAAGCCATAACTTGCAACTGAAAATTACAATCAGCCTTTTGTACAACAAAACTACATGACCAGAACTCCTTGGCAGAGGATCCTTCCAAGAACACTGAAAACAATCCTGCAGTCAGCATTAATGATTTTATTTTAAAATTTCTCTATAATAACATGCCAGTCTTTGAGGGCTATGAAAAAATCACCAACCTATAATGTTCACCTTTAAATTTATGCTTATTTTGCATGCCATTCTCAACTAGATTTATATTACATCAAAGGAATTAGGAAACTTTGATTCATTATGGTTGGTCAACTTCCTCTTTAAACTTCTGGATAAACACAGAAGAATTGAAGCTTATCTAAAGCTTACACATGTAAGCTTCTTACTACTATAAGAAATCAACATCTATTTATAGACTCCACAAATAGCACCTGAAAACACATTGACTAGAACTTTTTATTCTAAGGAAGGACTTGAAAGCACTGTAAGAAGCTAGAGAACCTTTCCATGACAGTGTAATTTGGACATACTCTTAGGACAAATAAGGCAAAAAAGTAGGGGAAACCTGTGAAGTAGAAAACTGCTCCTTTTCTCAAGACAGGAGATAAAAACAACCAGATGATGAGGACACTGATGATCCAAATGTCCAAACCATCTCAAGTGTAAGTTGTACCAAAAACTGTAGGAGTACAATTAAGCACAGCAGGCCAACAAGGCTATGATGCTGCCCAGATCTCACAGAACCACAGAATACTAGGGGTTGGAAGGGACCTCCAAAGATCATTGAGTCCAACACCCTGCCAGAGCAGGACCAAAAACTAGGGCAGATCACTCAGAAAGGCATCCAGACAGGTCTTGAAAGTCTCCAGAGAAAGAGACCTCACAACTTCTCTGGGGAGCCTGTTCCAGTGCTCTGTAACCCTCACAGTAAGGAAGGTCTTCCTCATTCTGAGCTGGAACTTCCTGCGCTTGAGTTCTGAACCCTAAGTAACACTTTTCCTTTATCTGTTAGACCATATTACCTCTACAGTTCTGTGACTTTCTGGAAAAGTAAGTGACATTTCACACATTAAACTGTTTAACTGTTGTTGAAAGAAACATATCACCAGCTTGACTGTTAAGAGAGACATTACAAGGGAGCAGCAGTAAACAGAATGAACACAAGTCTGGAAAAAAAAAACATGCTAAGCCTTAAAAACTCTGAAGCTTCAATAAAAGTAAGCAGTCATAGATAAGTAATGAAGTTAATATTCTAAATTACTCAACATTGCAACAAAAATGAAATTACAGTAATAGTAAAGAATCTGTATAATGGCATTGAACTTCTTTCCAGCAATTTATTCTACATAAATCTTTGCTATTTTTACATCCCACAAGTTTATAAATCAAAGAATTTCCAGGGCTTTTAGCTAAACTATTTAATCAGGAATTTCAGACATTATTTGTTGGCATAAAGCACAGAGCCATGTAGCCATATACAGCACCTGAAGACAAGACCACGAAGATGCTTTGATTTCAGGGCAAAAAAATATTGTTAATTTTAAGATTCTTCTGTTCTGGGTTGAGAGTACAACAAGAAGCTGACCAAAAGTAATATAACTTTATAGTATTCAAGAGTAGTTAGCATTTTGAGATTGAGAAGAATCCTCAATCCCACTTTAAGATAAACCTTCTACATAAGATTATTTCTTATTATATTTAGCTTTGAAATTCCTACTCACAGTTACTTCCTTATAAAGCCTTTATATGACAAGTTGTCATTGTTACTGAAATCTCTCAATCCCTTTCAACTTTTGATGGAAATTAATGAAGCAGCAGCATTTATACAGCATTGCAACTTGAAAACAGACAGACCCTTGAAAGGAGGCAGCAAAAGAAAACCTATGCTGCTCTTCTGATACACATTACAGTTATTTAAAACACTCTAATACGGAAGATGTCCCAGAGGAAACACAAGGCTATTTCACTGCATTTTCAGGGTCTGTATTAAAAAATAATTTAGAAGAGCCAAACATATAATTATGCAGAACAGCTGAGTCTGGCTGGAGATCACCTAGTCAAAAGCACTCTGCACAAGGAATGGTCACCTACAGCAAGCTGCTCAGGGCTGTGCCATCTTTGGATTTGAGCTTCTCCAAGGAGAGAGGCTTCACAACTTTTCTGGGCAAACTCTTGCCATGTTAAACTACCTTAGCAGCAAAAAAAGTTTTCTTTTGTTTAAATGAAGTTCTTGTATTTAAATTTGTGTCAATTTCCTCTGGTACTTTATTTCAAATCTTTTTAAACTAACAGTGACTGAAATGTAGCCATTTCTTAAACTTTGTGATACATTATAAGGATCACAACTTTAAAAGTTTGAGAAATTTCATAACCCGAATTACTAGCGCACTAAAATATTGTGGTAGTTGACCAAAGCTGTCATGCACCAAGTTAAAATGACAACAAAAAGCATAAAACTAATACTCAACTGTATATAACCCACTTATTTAAAAGATATTCGTTGAATTCAACACTTTAATTGACTCCCAGCCCAAACTGTAATATAATTGACCTATCATGGAAGTAAATGGGACATGTACTTATGAAGTAACAGAGCTACCAAAGAGGTCACCTATAAAATCCATACCTCTACTATGTGGTAGTTCAAGGGGATCTTGTTATTTCCTGGATAGCTCAACAACTGTGCAGCACTGCAAAACCATAGATAACATTAAATTCAGAATGTAACACAAGGAATCTGATGTACAGATAAAGTAACAAAGTAAGAGAAAATACTTAATTCTGAGCAAGAGTACATACAAAAGCAGCACAAGCCAATCAATCTGTCCATCAATCCATAGAACACAACAGAAACAGCACAAGAACACATAAGCATTGCCTGAGCTATGATTTGTAATCATGTATTTTATCTGTGTAGTTACAGCACTTGAACACTGCACTGCTACACAAAACAGTTTTGCATAAATAGTCATGGTGATCTGTAATTCTGGCATGAACACATGAAAATCAAAAAACCCAAACAACAGATGTTCAGACTGACCTGAAAGCACAATTAAGCTAATGGATTATAGAAGAAACTCTGAGGCTTCGAATCCTTCATCTTTTAATCAGTTAATTATCACATATCATTACTAGAAGCAAACAACTGCTACTTCCTTGATTTTACCTCTACCTCTGTCAAATCTTGTATCTCTCTCTAGTCTTTACTTTCCTCTGATAATTAAAAAAGACTATGACAGTAACTGCAGCAACCCTGCAGTCTTTGCTGAATCAAATAGTTATAATCAAAAACCTGTATCACCTGTCATCACCAAAACATTGTTTCTGCCCATTTTTTGCATATTATATGAAGTTGGGTGGTTTTCATTTGGATGCATCACACAGCTCATTTACATGTGGCACACCAGTTGTCAATTACATCACATACTACTCAGACAGAAATGAAGAAAAGTGCCCTGTTTCCTGGTGTGGCTGAATTCAAACTAATGAAATCTGCTGGCCCTGCAATCACTACCCAGAGTGAGCTCAATTAGCTCTGCCATGTAATCCCAAACAGAAAAATACAACAAGGAGGAGCAGTAAGCAGAGGCATGTTCATTAGCACCAGTGCACAGTCAGCTGCAGAGGAACCAGCTCAAGCTCACTGTGCGCCAACGGATCAGTTGTTTCAAAATCCCAGGATGCGTAACACAACCACACTCTACTCAGTGCTGCCACGAACTAGAAGGCATGCCTGCTTATTTTTGCAGCACATTGTGTTATCATGGAACTTCCTTCCTAAGGACTGAGCCACTGTCCCACTGAATCACACAGGCTCTCAAAAAGCTGTGTGTTGCAGACCCACAGTATTCCAGGTGATGTTTTTAATATAGTTAAAGGTAGTAAATGGGAGTTTCATCAAATGCTCTAGGAAATGTTTAATTGTGAGCTGTTGTCTGACCAATGCAGGACTCTCCATACCCGATGGCAACAAAGCCATGGTAGCCTATAAAAAGTGACAGCCTAGCAGTGCTAAGAGTTTCCTACCAAGTCTTTCTCTCTTTCCAGTGGGATTTGATGATGCAGTGCAGGTTCTCTTCTATAACAAACCGTTCAACAGAGTGGCTGCCAGGCATGACAGGGCCCTGGTAAGAAAGAATGAAGACTCATGAAAGATCACTGCTAATGCAGTGGCACTACAGATAGCAAGCTATCCTATATACACTTACAGGGGGAAGAAATTATACAACTTGCAATTAAAAACAGCAAGGTCTCAGCTGCCCCGTATCTTTCCAGACTGAGAAGCTGGTATGATACAGTTCTAATACAAACCTCAAACTGATGTTTAAACCAAAATAAATACTAGGACTCACTACAGAAAGAAATAGGAACAGAATTAGATAATATGATTATAAAAGACTTGAGTCACCAACTTTATGGATGGAAAGTTTAGCTGTGAACAGTTTTATAAGAGACAATAGAGGATTCTGTAATTCTAAATTAAAACTTTGCAACATTTCATGCCCTGAATTCTACTCCTCACAGGAACTGGTCACCCAGTTCACTCCTGCAGAAGTACAAAACCAGAACTACTGCTGGTCTTCCAACCACTCACTATCCTGGGAGAGAGGACAGTACACTTTGACCAATATTGCCCCAAAAATCCAACTGTGAAATCTGCTCACCATGCCCCACAGTGCTCACATACCTCGGGGTCATCCGTGTAGTCAAACATCCGAAAAATAACCCTTGGCATTGGGTACACTGAATCTTCAGTGTGAGGTGGAGGAGTGAAGGGAGGCAGGTTGTGTTGCAGTGCTTCACAAAGAATGCTGTCAAAAGCCAAGTAGGGCCTCAGAATGTGTCTCTCTTGCCAACGGTCTTTTTTCAGCTTCTGAATCTGGGACCAAAGGCAGTCTAAATACTGGAGGAAAAGGATGAGAAGCATTGGATGCATTCAATCGTGTTACCAAGCTGGTAGCTCCCCTGCATTATCAGATATGTGTTTCTGAAGTTCTGTATTTCATTCAGAAAAAAAAGTTATTAAACTGCTGATTTTAATAAATAATTTAAGAATCTAAACACTAGAGTTGTTTCAAATTCCACACAACATTGTGTCTGCTTGCAGGTCTTTAAAGACCAACAGGCAGCCCAGAATTCCAAGCATTATGGCCACTCTTAAAATTTGCCAGCAAAACCACAGCAGTGAACATTGTTACTTCAGCCACAGATCATTGATAGTAATAAAACAGACATATCAGCATTCACATTGGAAAGACATTCCAATTCCAGTAGGACGGCCATACTTCTCCCAAGCCAATCAAAATGACCAGCTACTGCATACTCAAGACAAACATAACCCTATTGAATATTAAATACCTTTGCCATGGTTTTCAATGCAATTCTAAGTCCCAGAATTCCACCCAAGATGGCACAGACACCTGTGCAACTGTCAATACTCTTGCTTTATTTAATTACTCTCCTGGTTAAAGCAGTCCAAGGACTCTGGAGCCCTGTGACCTCACTGAACACTAGTTTCAAGTCATAACCAATGCAAGAAATGTCTTTACATGGAAGTGCTGTGCATTTACTGAAATTATCACACCATAAAATGGGAACAAACCCAGTAACAATTAGCACCTGAAGTGAAAAGCTATGTTTGCAGCACTCTCGGTAACAAACACATGGTCCCAAATGCACTCTGCTAATCATTCCTTTACTGAATTAAATAAGGAAATTCAGACATTGGTCAGGCAGAATACTCACACTGACAAATCAATCATAATCAGACAGCCTAACTCTCCAAACTCTGATTAACAAGACAAGTGTTAACACTGTGATTTAATCAGAACAATAAATAAAACATAAGAGGGTGTACAGGTTTGACCCTACAGACAGCTACTCACTCATTCTCCTCCCATCCCCTGGGGAACTGGGGAGAGAATTGGAAAGGTAAAAAGACTGGCAGGATGAGATAAAAAAACCAGAACAGTAAATAATAACAATGATGATGATAAAAATAACAAAATAATAAAATACAAACAAGTGATGTAGAGTGCAACTGCTCACCACCTGCTGACCAATGCCCAGCCTGTCCCTGGCTAGTGATTCTGGAAGATAGAAGTCCTGAAATGGCAATCCCGGAAGAGACAGAGCCTGACTTCCCAGGCCACCCTCATCTATATACTGAGAGTATGATGTTGCATGACATGGAATATCCCAGTGGCTGGTTGGGTTTTGTTGCTCTGGCTATGCTCCCTCTCAGCTTCTACACATGCATACTAGCAAAGCATAGGAAGTTGAAAAATTCTCTACCTCTTAGCAAGAACTAGAAGTATCGGTGTTATCAAAATCCTTTTCATACCAAATCCTGTAGCGAATCCAACACACAGCACTATTCCGGCTAGTAAGAAAATTAGCTCTATCCTAGCCAAAACCAGGACAGAGGGCCAGAAGATCAATTTACATCTCCCTTTCCAACTGAGTTTGTCCTCAAACTTGCAGAAAAGAAAAAAAAAAAAACCAAGAAAATGAGAAAATGCAAATTCCACTTCAAACTAGCCAGGTGCTATCTCTCCCCTCAAGTATTATTGGCTTAATTGTGAAAGATGGCATGGTAACTGTTGCATACATTTTCTACATACTTGTTTAGCACTTCCTAGAGTTGAGAAAGCAAAGCCACTATAAAGGTTTCTTTCTCGCAGAGGGAAAACATACAGAGGTAAGTAAGGAATCCAATTCTGCTTTTCCAAAGGTCTTTTTAGCATTAAACCTTGTACCTGCAATTCCCCCCAAAAATACAATTTACAGCTATTCCTCACTTCATAACATTTCTTCAGGGGCCTGTCAGCAAACAACAAAACTCTTCTGCTCATCCCATACAACCTTATATTTAGGCTTAAAAGATAATTAGACTTAAAAGATAATTCATCAAGTAGAAATTGTTAAGGACTAACAGGAGACAAATCAAAGCATTAATATTTTTAGAGGTGCCTTTTAATTTCATGCTAAAAGCACACCTTAGTACAAAAGTTTTCCAGCTTTCTGAAAGAATACAACATAAAATGCACTCACCTCTTCTTGTGGATGTGGTTTATCAGCAGTCCAAACCTGCAGCATGGGTACATGGATCTTTTGGCGGCGTCTATGTACGTGGGAAAGAAAATGTGACCTTTAAAACACTAAACCAGAGCAACAACTCTAACCTCAATGTGAGTGTACTACTACTGTATATTGAAGTGCAGTATCTTGATAACGTTAACTTGAAGCACACCTAGACAGAATGCAGTCACACTGCAGAGCACTCACGAAACCACCTATCAGTATTCACAGCACACTTAGAAGAGCAGCTGCTCCAGCATAAGCAGAATAAGACCTTCAACATAACCTAGAACTTGACAAGACAACAAAACCCCCTCAAATTCTTTCCACCTATTCTATTTGCAGGGTATTTTTCCCCTCACAGAATGGTTCAGACCTAAAACTTCAGAATACTCCTAACAGAGCAAAAATCAAAGCTATTAAATCATATCTGAATAGATACCAATAAGCATATTTTAATGGGTTATGACTTACTTCAAATAGCTTTCTGTCTGAGACAGGAGGCGATCCATTTCTGCATCCTTTTTCTCATATAACTCCTTCCCAACCCAAGGCAAAGATGACAGAAATGCAAACACATACCAGTCACATCGTACCTACAGGAAAGAAATATACTGAGGTCTAAGAACACAAGTACGCACCAAAAGATCTTGTATACACACCCTATTTTAATTTAACATAGCAGCAAAACTATTGTTTTGGGAGTATGTACAGGCCAGCAGTTAAGGATGGGATTTGCAAGCCAAGAAAAATTCCTTGAAATGTGTCACTTTAAACTTGACCATTTACAAGCAGACACAATTATATCACTTTCAGTCCTTCTGCAGATTATTGATAAAGCAGAACAAGCCTGGCACTAAGACTTGCCAAACTAAGTTAAATTCATTCCAGCTACTTCACTATAAGGACCATTCTTTCTTACTGTATGCATGTGTTTTCTAACTGCCACAGACTCATTTTACTCATGCTAATGACACTGTACATTGTGGTCCATTTAGTTCTCCATATTCCATATCTAAAAATTCCCTGTTCTAAGCACAAGTAGAGAAGCAATGGTACTGAAAAAAGTGAGAACAGCACAGATCTTTTGCTTACCTGGGGTACATCTTCCTCCTGTGTCACACTCACAAAGTTCTCAAACATAGCTACCATTGAAGGTGCAGCTATTACATGACAATTCACAAGATCAGACAGAAAACGAACCTAGAAGTGACCAAGAAAATAATTTTAAATGAGCATTTTTCGAACTGACCTCACAGGAACAAATAGACATTACTAAATGACTAAAACAAACCAATAATAGAAGTACAATATTAATTCAGTACAATGAAGGCAGGAATACTGCAGACTGAACAGACATACCCTTTAACTCTGGAAAACAAGTACCTTAAGTGCTGCCTAGCAGATAATTCATTATAATGTCTGTAGTCTGTTCCACTACAGTTACATTGCAAGGATAGTTCTAACCAAGGAAGGATGGGAAACACCAGTATGCATTCAAATAAATGCAAATGAACACTACAGACAAAAAAACCTCCTTGTGTTCCTACTCTAAGTGGTATCAGATTACTAAAACTACAGAAGTGGAAAGAAAAAGCTACTAAAAAGCTGAAGATGGATTAATGAATTCCTTCATGAGTCCAGATGTGCATCAGGTAACACGAATGATGAATCTGTATACCATTATACACAAGTAATTTCTGTAATTATTTATTCATAAATATTTCTCTGTATAATGGTACACAGAGACAGACTGTGTAAAAGCTGCCAACATTTTTTATTTGAGAAATGTGACAGACTGATGGCATGCTAGGAATCAGATGGGCTTATTTGCCTGAGGAGAGAGAAATCCCTAGGGCAGGAATATATCCTCGATTTGGCTGCACTCTAGTAAGAAATCGAGACTGACAGAAATGGGAATTCCAGCAGAAAACATCTGGGGCAGAGTAGTGCCCTTTTTTTGTCCCCTCTACTATCTCTTTTGATTTGTATCCTGCCTTCAAACTTAATCAAGGCCCTAGTAGGACATAGGCTCCCCCAGTATCACCACAATCTCTACAGACAACATAGGCTGAAATTCTATCAATTAAAATTTTGCATTTTTTTTCCTTAAAGGCTCCTTTTTTCTTAAGGGCACACTCTCAAAAGGCTGTCCAAAAAAACAACACAGGTATTTTGTATTGAAGGCAGATCTTTGGGAAGAAGTCTTGGGAAAGTAATTTTGGCTAAGGGAACAGTTCAGCACTGAAAGAGCAAATGCAATAGTGAAAAGTAACAAGCTCTTACTTTCCAGATACTCGTTGCTCTGAGCAGACTTCGGAAAGTCTTTGACAGAGCTGAGGAAAGATTTTCACTGCCACTGCATCAGTTGTTACTCTCACAAGTCACTGGTGTGACCAAGGAAGGTGACACTGAAGCCAATGGACAGAGCATTTTGAGCTCTAGTGAGGACTTTCTTAGCAGAAGTGTCCCACAGCTGGACAGCAGCCTTTTGACAAAACACATTGAAACACTAGAATCTTGGTTTACACCAGAGAGCTTCAAAAGAAGCTGGGGAACATGGAACTGGACTTCTGAATCAGACACCCCTGCAGTCCCAATACCTTTTTGCAGACAAAATCTGTAAGCAACAAGAGCTGAGGTTTCAAATGGTTTCAAAGTCAGACAGCACTTCAAACTGCCTGCTTAATTTTTGTCCCATGTTAGCAGAATGAAAACACAGACCTGGTAACAGCCAACAGAACAGCTTTTAAGAACTAGACTGTTCATTTTTCCTTTCAATTTTTTTTGTTTGCTTGTTTTTGCATTGGAGTCACAAGAAGATCATACACCTCTGAACACAATAAAAGAGAATGACTTTCATTAAACTTTTACATTTGACTGTGGAACAGCTAGGGGGACAGTACCACAGATTACTGCAAATCAACATGTCACTGGGAAAATATGCAGCTGCAAGTCAACATTACAATTGTAATGATTTCTCTATCCTGAAGAGTGAAATACTTCCCCCATAACCCACATTTCCCCTTGGTATAGCTAAAGTGCACTGCACATGGGTCCAAGCAGAGACTGTAATACACACAGTAAGGTCCAGCTCTTCTGGAACAAGAAGGTGAAAGAAGGAGGAGAGAAAAGGGATGAGGAAAAATATAAAAAGGAACAAACAAACAAACAAAAGTATCACTTACTAAATGCACAGCTTCATTATGCATATTGACTTTCAGACATTCCTTAAGCTGACGAATCATGGCTTCTACAAATTCCCCACCAAAATTGTAGTTCCTGGCATTCAGCAACCCAACTAGTGTCGTGTAAACAGTAAGTTTTTCTGGTAACAGACGTGCACTGACACAGAAAAAGAAATATGGTGTTAGTTGTTCATTTCGCACGTGCCAACAGGCAACTGCAGAGCATTTTAGAATCTGCTTATTGTAAGTTAAACTTGTCTCACGAGGAAGTAAGAGAAGACCCAGCATGATCTTGCAGTTGTATCTCACAGTTAATAGCTTACAACCTTTTTTTCAGCTACGGTCATTGAGAAAGGCAGATGGCACTTTCAAGCCCATTTAAGGCATCTGCTTTTTATTTATGCCTAAGTGCTGAACATTCCAGAGGGCTCTTTTAGGTTCGTAATTTAGAAATAATGGTATTATACAGCACCAGTGTGGTTAGACAAGAGGTGCACACGTAACATTTTATGCTAGTGATTTTGATTCCAAGTGTCACAAGTCAAAGTAATTAATTTTAAGCACAGCCTAAGGAAGGCCAGGTCCTGCTGCAAATAGTTTTCCTCAAGAATTTTTGTATGCCTGTAAGTTAACCCTCTGCTTTCCGAAGTGTCTTTAGTGCTACAGGGAAAAATATACACTCTTTTGCCTTATATTAACAAATACTGCTACAAATCAGGGTCAAAGCATCTGCAAAACCATAGTATAGGGTTGGAAAAATCTCCTTCCTCAGGCTTACCTCCTCCTTCAGCCCCTCCCCCTCAGACACCCTGCAGTGATCCTGACACAGGGCACCTCTGCTATCGAGGGGCAGGAGAGCTGCCTGCCACCTGAGAGAGCCTGCTTGCAGCTCCTCATGCTTCCAGCTCCCCTCCTCTATCGCCTGGGCTAATGGAGACACAAGCCTCTCATTGCCAGAGAGCAGGAACAGGCAACAAGAAAACAGCAGAGGTAAGACTCAGGAAGTGTTGGCATCCAATGCCTTTGTTGCTCTGCAGTATTTCACTGGAAAACCAGACATTGCCCAGCATAAGTGTGTTCTCATGGCTACTGAAGAGCAGCTCTGAGGGTTCTCTTATCTGTTTTGAGCCATGGTACATATTTCAAGTTAAAGCAATGTAAAGGAGTATTTTCCTTGAATTACACCCAGAGCACAACAGCCTTATTTGTCTGTTACTTCTGTTTGTAGTAAAACAAACTCTACACTATAAGAGTGCTCTCTCAAATTCTTGGCATTTCAGCTACCTGAAACACTTATAATTATGCACAGAGGAGAAAGCACCTCCCAGATCTCCCACATACATACACAGTACATAGTATCCTTAGTATCTTGCTTTTGTAGTTTGGCAGATCAGCTTCCAAAACACCAGCTAGGCCCTCCAAGTTGCTCTCCAAAGATGAATTACTCTAAAAAAAGAAAAGTTGCATCACCAGCTAGACACTATGAACCAGTCTCTGACCCTCATGTGGAAGGCAGAGAAGCTGAGTAAGAGAATCCTATTATGGTACCATCTTCTTCAAAGCAAGGATTCCATTACTTTACCGGGACAGAACTGCTCTGTCTGTCCTGAGAGAAGGAGCAGGCACTTATCAGAAGAACTGCAGCTGATACCTCCCCTGCTCCCCTGAGATGCAAGATGCCACATGGCCCCAGGGGCAGCGCGGTAAGGCCAGTCTCAGCGGCCTTGATTAACGACACAGCATGAAACGCGACACCCCCGCGGCCTGTTTTGCAGCGCAGCCCCGTTTTTGTCCTTATTTCCCCCCCGCCCCCCCGTTTCTCTCAGCCTCAAA